AAGAAACAAAATCTCTACATTTTATACAGAATCTACCTCCTTTGTTACAAGGACAGTCATTATTACAGTATTTGCCAAGACTGATACAAATAACAAAACAATAGAATAGCAAAGTTTGTACTGTGGAAAGTTGTGTTCATACTGTCAGAAATACATTTGTCTCAACTTGTAACCTCTTCTGTGCCACAATGTGTGTAGGTAAGAGGCCGGTGTTACCCTACATGTAGTGCTAGAAGTGAAGCCCAGTCATTAAGGCCAATACAAATGTCAGCATAAACAGTGGCAAGACTTTCTGATCTACCACAGTCAGCAGTCCTAGAATTTATTCTTCCTGGTTTTCATAAAATGGAATATTAAATTCAGTTGCAGTTCCCAAAATACAGCAAATGTGATGCAACTTTTTTTGAGTGTTTATTATGCTATTAAATTTACCAGGTGTAGGAATTAAGCTTAAAACTATTTTATCAGCCTTTCTCTTCTGCTCTTCTTTCTGCTTAGGGTTTGATCCAAAACCATCCAGACTGTCATTTAGTTGAGTTCAACACCCTTGGATCAAGTTCTCGTGTCTTTGTTACACTTCTGCAATTTTATAGTTAAAAGCTGACATAATTTGAACTGTTCCTGATTTAAGTGAGAGCAAAATAAACCATTCTGTTTTTGTTTTTTTTAAATCAATCTCTCCCTTTCTGGTTTAAATACTTCTGAATCTCCTCCTTAGTTTCAGGCTATCATGGGAAACCATGTCCCAAAAACATAGTTTCAGGTTAGATTATTTCTGAGTAGAAGAATCTAACTGAAAAAAAGATAAATTACTTAAATGCTAGTTTTTGTCACAGTAAGATGAAGGATATCTTGGCAGTAACTCAATCTAGTTGAGGTAAACAGCAATGTACTTACAAATTCTTCTGAAAGTAGGATGAAGTATATTTTCAATAAGGGAGGTTGTCTTTTTTATTTAATTTTTTTTTTCTCCTTCCGTTTGCCTGATACTATTTACACTTTGTAATGAGATGCCTCTAGGGCACAAGTGTGCAAGATCTCTGTAACTTAAACTAGTATCTTCTGCATCTTGCAATACTTAAGACATTTAATATTTTTTTCACTGATTGCTTCCATATCACGTTTTATTCGTTTTTGTATGAATAAATCAGATTAAGGAGTTTGAACCATAAGTATTTTAATACCAGTATAATGATCCTTATGGTTCTGCTGGATCAGCAAGCAGACCTAAGTTTGTCAAGCTTGATGTGAAGGACAAATCCGTTGTACAGTGTGGTGGTTCTTCTTTTTTCCAGCTCTCTTGCAAAAGATTTGGAGGAGTTCTTGAATGCTGACTGGGAGGTTTGAAGTGGTAGCCAGCAATCTATTTTAACATTTTAAGGTTTTTTTACAATTTAAAAGGATTCTTCCCAGCAACAGATCTCCCTTACATGTGGTTTCTTTCGCTTCCTAATTACCTAATTATTCATGCACACACTAAATAATTTACCAAAGAGTTGCTGCTTATCAGACCTGAATATTTTCTTCATATTAAAATACAGACACTGTTTGTGGTTTTGAAAGACCTAGCATGTCTTTAATTTTAAGGAAAGATACAGAAGTATTATGCGTACAAGTGTGTAATTGTTTTGGCTGACTTGCTCTGAAGTTAATTCAGGTGTGTCTGATTATCTTGTGTCTGACTTATGCAGAGGCTTTCCTTAGAGGCAGAGAGAATTAAAGGATTAGAAAAACTGTAACAGGCAAAGACCCAAAAAACCAATAATCTCAAGAGAAGGCTTAAGCTGAAATTTAAATTATGTGTGTTAACAGTAACTGACAACCATGTGAGTGAGATAAAAATACACAAACACACAACTGCAGGAGAATTTAACCTATTTGTTTGAGAGTTTGAGTTGCACTAGATTAAAATTTTTGTCAAAACATGTTACTGACACCATCGGACTGTGACACTAAGGATCACATCTTCTTTAAATGCAGAGTATGTGTATTAAAGTTTGCATCAGAGGCTTAAATATGTATGGCCAGCTTGAGACAGGCATTTTCATAAGTTTTCAAGAACCTTCTTCTCAGTTCTTCTGCTTAATCATAGGTGGGCACTTATCAGTGGGTAAATGGGGTTTGTTTTGAAGCCACTCTTTAGGTAAATGTTGCCTGAAAGGTTTTTTTTCTATAAGAAAGCAGGTGGTTTTGGAGTTCAAATTATTTATATAGACATTAAATGTTAGGAACACAAGATGTTATATTTTGTTCCACACAGTCATCAAGTTTCATCAGATGCATTTATGCAAAGACTGGTGCTTTTTCTTCAAAGACCTTTATCTGTAATTAAGAATGAGGTGTTTTTATTAATAGAAGAGACTGAGGTAAGAGTGGGAAAGATGAAGCTGAGCCATTATGATTTATAGTTTTATATAATACTTGGTTATTCTCTTCAGTTTATCGGATTATACACTGCATGAGATTTTATGGCAGATTTTTCATTCATTTAGCTGTTTAGTCATCCCTAAATGTGTATATGCATTCATCACGTCACTAAGTCATTACGCAAAATGTCTTAATGCTATTCAAGAAGAAGAAAATGTGAAAGGATGGTCTTGATCAATTTTTAAATTGAGCTTTTGTTCAATTAAATTATTAATTTGTCATGGCAGTGAATACTTTGCAAAGTATAACGTGGGCCCACTCCAGAAGGAAACTGGAGAGCTGGTTATCCAACACATACAGAAGGCTGAGGTACTCAATGGCTACTTTGCCTCAGTCTTCAATGGCAAGGACTTTGGTCACACCCACCAAGTTGTGGAAGCTAAAGGCAGGGACTGGAGTAAAGAAGATCCTCCCACTGTAGACAAGAGCAGGTGAACAAGTCCATGGGAGTTGATGGGATTCACCCATGGCTGCTGAAAGAACTGGCAGATGAAGTTGCAAAACCTCTGTCCATCATATCTGAAAAGTCCAGGCAGTCTGAAGAAATCCCCAGAAAAGGGGAATGTAACCTCCATTTTCAAAAAGGGAAAAAAATAAAATCCAAGGAACTACAGGCCAGTCGGTCTCACCTCTGTGCCTGGCAAGGTCATGGAGCAGGTCCTCCTGAAGGTTCTGCTAAGACAAGCGTATAACCAAAGGGTGATGGGTGGCAGCCAACACAGCTTCATTAAGGGCAAGTCCTGCTTGACTAATTTGGTGGCCTTTTACGATGGGGTCACAGCCTCGATGGGACAAAGGCAGAGCAACAGAGGTCATCTACCTGGACCTGTGCAAAGCCTTCAGCACTGTCCCACATGACATCCTGGTCTCAGAACTGGAATGTTATGGTTTTGATGGGTGGACCACTCATTGGATAAGGAACTGGCTGGATGGTTGCACTCACAGAGTTGTGATCAATGGCTCCATGTCCAAATGGGGACGTGTGATGAGTGATGTTCCTCAAGGGTCAGTACTTGGACCAGTGCTGTTTAACATCTTTGTCACCAACATGAACAGTGGGATCAAGTGCACCCTCAGCAAGTTTGCTGACACACCAAACTGGTGAAGTCAACATGCAGAAGGGAAGGGATGCCATCCAGAGGGACCTTGACAGGCTCAAGAAGTGGGCTCATGCTAACTGCATGAAGTTCAGCAAGGCCAAGTGCAAGGCTTTGCACCTGGGTCAAGGCAACCTCATGCATGAATACAGGTTGGGAGGGGAAAGAATTGAGGGCAGCCCTGCAGAGAAGGACTTGGGGGTAATGGTGGATAAGAAGTTCAACATGAGCTGGCAATGTGTGCTCGCAGCCCAGAAAGCCAACTGTGTCCTGGGCTGCAGCAAAAGAAGTTTGGCCAGCTGGTCGAGGGAGGTGGTTCTCCCCCTCTACTCTGCTCTTGTGAGACCCCACCTGGAGTGCTGTGTCCAGTACTGGAGGCCCCAACATAAGAAGGACATAGAGCTCTTTGAGCGAGTCCAGGGGAGGGTGACAAAAATGATCAGAGGGCTGCAGCACCTCAGCTATGAAGATCGGCTGAGGAAGTTGGGGTTGTTCAGCCTGGAGAAGAGGAGGCTCTGAGGTGACCTTACAGCAACCTTCCAGTGCTTGAAGGGGGCCTACAAGATAGCTGGGGCAGGTCTTTTAGCATGGGCATGTAGGGAGAGGGCAAGGGGCAATAGTTTAAAACTTGAAGAGGGAAGATTTAGATCAGACACTAGGAGGAAATTCTTTGCTATGAAGGTGGTGAGGCACTGGGACAGGTTGCCCAGGGAGGTTGTGGAAGCCTCATCCCTGGCAATATTCAAGGCCAGGTTGGATGAGGCCCTAAGCAACCTGGTCTACTGGGAGGTGTCCCTACCCACACAGAGGGATTTGATCTAGATGATCTTTAAGGTCCCTTCTAGCCCTAACCTTTCTATGATTCTGTATGTAAACTGTTAAAAAAAAAGACAAATGTGAATAGCACTATGTCAAGTAGCTCAAAAGTACACTTTCTTACTAAAGGTTGGGTTTTTTTCAGGTTGACAAGGTGGACTCTGCTTAAAGTAAAAATGTTACTTTTTTTCCCCGAGATCAAGGATATGATTTGTGGCTCCTTCAGCCTACAAAACAAGAAAACTTTGAATGTGTCTGTATTTGTCTACTCTGTATCAAATAGTTACAGAATATTAATATACACAAGAGTTTGGCTGCTCCAAGAAAGATCCTCAGAAATGAAGGTAGTAAAATTGTTAAAGAAATTTCAACAGTTTTCATTTCTCATCTTAACATCAGTGGTTTTATTTCCGTTACCCTGCTTTCCCTGGCTGCTAATAAAAAAGAAAAAATTTTGGACTCTTTGTCTGCCCAGTACAGAGTCGTGTTTTTCATTTCAGCAAGTAGCAAATCATTCTACTAGCTGAGAAAGCAATACAACTGAAACATTTTATGGAAGTGTTTTCCTTGGTATTTCAGAAGTTACAAATTATCTCCAAATTTATGTTAAATCATAAACCAAAATTTAATTGGTTTAACCAAATATGTTTCCTTATTCAGAGGACGAACCTGCTCCAAACAGTGTTGTTGAAGAATACCTCCAGGAGAAAAGAAAATATGAAGACAAGCGGAAACAGCAGCCAAAGAAAGGGGTTTCTCGAGAAGATCAGGTAAGAGTTTGACATCCTGGGGGGAAAAAAATCCAGAATAAGTTCTGACGGTGTTATTTTATATAAAAGTAAAGTTTTAAAGTGTTATGCTTCATTTTCCATTCAAATAACGTTATTATGCATAAAAAATCGCATCTACACTTCCAATCCCCAATTGTGATTTTCCAGGTGGCTAGGTAACTCACATTTCAATGTGTATTTGGTTGTGCTATCAGTTTAGTCACTAAAATCTTCCAAAGAAAAAGCTACCCATGCAAAACTATCCTTGATTACATTTACAAGAGTTTGCATTTCTCTACAGTGCTTAGCTCTGCAGCTTGCCGTAATATTAGGACAGAAGCTCACATAGTTGGCATCTATCCAAGCTTGATTTTTTAACAATTTTAAGTTATGTTTTTAACAAATTAAATTAATTCATACCTTTTGATATTATGAAACCAACATAAATACTTTTTAACAGAACAACAGGAAAATTCTTAAAAATAATGAAAATTATTTTTCAGAATTACTTAGGATGCATGTAAACTTTAGTATGCAAATGTGAGCAAAGTAAAGTTTGACAGAAATACTTGTTTTTTCTAAAATACAAACATTTGGAATTGTTAAATATGTGCAAAATCCTGTGGAGTGGAAAATACCATTAATTTAAAATCTGTGCAGTGCATCAAGTTCATTGGTTTACAAGTGCCTGTCAGTTCAGCTACGAAGCGGTTCATATTCAGCTCTTGATGGTGGAAGAGGCTGGAAACTTGAGGATTAGTAACTTCAAAGCAGCAGTTGGCAAACCTTTATACATGTGGCAGATTGATTTAGCTCTGAACTAAGAAGTTTATGACAATTCATTCAAAACATTCAAAAGCCCATTAACTTGAATTGGTTGGCAGTGTGGATCAAGGCATTTGAAAACCACTGCTAATGAATTCACATCAGCCCTGTTCTGGACATCATAGGAAAGCATTATGAGATCACAGGGATGTGTATTTTAATAGATCTTAGTTTTTATTTATGTAACCCTGCTGGCAACGATTCAACAATAAGTAATCAAGAACTTTGTAATCTATTTCATCTGTGAAGAGCCTCTTCTAGCCTTGCATCCTTCCTACCTCATCATACAGCACAATACCATTTTCCATCCTCCATCCTTCCGCATCGAAGAGTCAAAAAAGAGGAGGAAAGTTATGTATTTCCTTACCATACTAGGTATTGTAAATCCCCATCTTACAGTTCTGCAAGGGTCAATTTTTAACATTATTAGATCCACAGTATGGTATCTAATCACCCGCTGCTAAAATGCCTGCTATGAGATTTTGAAATTATTTATGTCACTAGGTCTATTT